GAATTATGTCTAAGTCCATTAAATCCTGAGCAATGCAACCTTTTGGACTAAATGTGCACATTGAGTTTGTCGATATTTTCACAGGAATTTTAAACCGAGCATGGGCCGTCGTCGCATTGCGCAAAATAAGTGAGGCAATTCCTGAAGAAGTGACAGAGCTGATTTTTTTTCCTTGTGCATTGAAATAGTCTATCAAAATGTTCATGACATGGGTTTTTCCTGTACCTCCGGGACCGTCAACGTAAATAATCCATGGTTCTTGCTGAGACGACATTTCAATTACATAGTCTAGGATCTTTGTTTGTCCTTCGTTCAAAGATGCCCGTTTAGACTTGAATTCTTGCTGTGGGTCATATGTACTAATGTCATTGTTATCCGCAAAAGCTCTGAACAATGCCCACTTCAGATCCTCCCCATGAGCTAACCCCACATCTTCCATAGTACGATTGTGCTTTTTGAGTTGTTCTGCAATTTGAAATATTGTAAACGATCGAATATATTCAACGTTATTTCTGAGCGCAGGCCTGGACAGTGTCAATATATAATTGGAATCGTCTCCTAGATCTTCAATGTATTCATCCAAGAGACTCTGAGGATTTGATGGCGGAGAGTGTACCAAGATGATACAGAACATTGCCCTCAAAGCACGGCCTAACATCCAACAAGAGGCTTCTTGGATTGCTGCCGAATAATGATCGTCCGTAGCTAACAGTTTCACAGCTTCGCAAGCATCTCGGAACGTTTCATAATATCTGCCCTCGACTGTTCTCAAGTCTTCGAATGATTTTGGGCCTCCCTTGTTTGCTAGGAGTACTCTCAGATAGTACCGCTCACCTTCTGTAATTGCCGCAAAAAAAAGTCTTCCTACGGCATCTGAAGTTTGAATTCGAGGTTCCCACCTATTATCATCAGTCCACCAGAAATATTTTGGTATATCCTGGTAAAGGCAGTTCTTGGCCAAAACTCCTAAGCCTGAGATGTCAGTTTGACACAATTGAAAAAATTCGGTTAAGGTCGTTCTTTCTGCTTTGCCTGTTTCAAATGACTTCTTCACATTGTCAAGAGTTCGGTAATATACTGTTTGACCCTTGTCTAAATGTAAGCTTAGTCGTTGTATAGAAGGTGACCTCCCATTCATTGGAAACTGAAATAAACGATATGCAGCTGCCGTAAATAAAACAAAAAATTAGCTTTGTTAACAAGATAGGTAAATTGTAGTTACTGACCTTCAGATGGGCCGATATAACGTCCTTCGATGAAGCGCTGAATCTCATCTCCATCGACAATTTTCATAGAAGAACAATTGACTCCTTTGCAAATATATTTGAACAAATATTTCATCGCCCTAACTGTAAAAGGAATCTCTACGTTGATGTGACAGTTGTAACTTAACGAAAGAAACTTGTTGAAAGGTATAACATGCCCGTTGTTAAACTCCATACCCATCTTTGTCACAGTTCTACCGTCATTGCGGCGGCGGTAATCCGGATAAGCATCTTCCGTAATTTCAGTCTCAGGTCGAAATGGTTTAGGAAAACCATATTTACACATCCCATTTTTCCAACAGTTTGACTTGAATCCGCAGGGCCCATGGAGCATATTTCTGGTGACAATTTGATATAAGTCTGGTTCTTTCTTTTCACATGGAATTTCCGCTGAAATTAATGTGTCTACGGCTTCAACAGTCTTTGGAATATCAGCTGGGTGTAACATAACCATTATGTGAGCATGCGGTAACCCTCGTTTCTGAAACTCGACGGTGTGTACAATGGCTTTGACTCGGCCCAACACACTATTTTTTTTGATGTCTTCTAATAACGCCTCCAGTTTTGAATGAAATGCTCGTGCGATTAAATCAGGTCGATCACTTGGATCTTGATGCTCAGCTAACGCTTCCGTTATTTCCGGCCATTTTGGATTGGCTGTCAGCGTCACAAATAATGCAGGTCGGCCAAATTCTTGAGTTAATGCCATTGCATCTTGATACAACTGATTCATGTTCCGAGGTGAGCCTGCGAAAGTCGACGGAAGGATAATTCTTCTGCCTTCTATGTCGGCCTCATTATGAATTGATTCTTTGACAGATTTATATAAGTCTGCCTTCAGTTGTTTTTGGTTATGACGGACAAAGTCTAAGCGCGACCTCTCAACGCAGACATACATGTCGTCTAGGATTTCTTGAAATAAGGATTTGCCATTGACAATTGCCGAGAATTGTCCAATCTTATCAAAACACATTGAGGAATACCATTCGTCCTGAGTTATTTGACGACCTATGTAAAGAGAATTTAGCATGGATTGAACTGAGGTATATATTGACGTCAGCTTACCGGATTTTCTCAACGACCTATATTTTGGAATCCATCCTTGCTCTCCCCTCGGGAAAAAGAGCGGGTAGCAAAGTGCTAAGTACCCTGGGAATAGATCTGTACATCTTTTGATGCCACCGTTGAGTTTGTGGAGTACAATGTCTCTCGGGCTAATTTTTTCTTCGTGGAGAGTATCTAAAACAAAGCCTATCTCGTCGACTCTTGGCTGATTGTACGTATTTGGATTATTCGATGGATCATTTAAGGCTCTCAAAACAAAAGTTGCAGCTGGGTTTGTAGCTAATTCTTGATTAATCGTCCGATAGAATTGCGCATATGAGTTGTTTTTGCTGATCCAAAGTTGAAGCTGAAGCAAAATCTTGGCATCGACATTGACTCCACATTTATGTTTCCGCATCGCCGCTTCCTTGGCATCGTTTCCTCCGATAACATAAATTTGGGCGAACTTTGCCTCTACTTTTGATGCGGGTACTTCTTCAGGTAAATTGTGATATAATGCTCCCCCAATCTTGAAAGTGCAAACGCCTTTCTGTCCTTGTACCTCATCATCAATGGTTGCCCCTAAAGACGCAAAAGACAGCGTGTTGTTGTAGCTTCTAATCTGCCTCTGGAATTTGGTCGATACTGAGAATAGGAGTCAGGTTACATAGGACCTCAGAGTAAGAGGAGACTACACACCGGAATCAGTCGAAATCAATAGATTCTTTAAAAATTGGGGATAGTTTGCACCGCTATAAGTCACGGGAATCGAAATCTGGCCTTTCTGGCAACACATTGAATATGAAGCTCGGGGGGCTTTTTTATCAATACCAGTGCGCTCGCATTTCCAGTGTATAGCCCCACAACTGAGGCACGGATCGGAATAGGGACCCATAGTATGAGGAAAGAGACCTGGGAACAATACTTTGAGGTTTGCTTCGTGATTTTGTGCGGGATTCTTTGCCACTGGCCCCGAAAAGATGTGTGTCATGGCGCCGGAAAGGAATGAGGGCAGAAAGTCAAATCAAATCTAGATTAGATTGTTGGATGGTAGTAACTTGAGGGTTTAGTTCTTGACTATAATGAAGATTGATTAATAATGAAACACAGATTTTGAATAGGCTCGGCTGAGATTCAGTTGTTTTAGAAGCACCAAGTCCTAGCAAAAACTTTGACACTTCAGTTTCAATTGAGTCAAGTCGAATTCCCTCCTGAGCTCTTCTAGGAGAGCCGATTATAGCTGAATACCGGTTATGCCTTTTGCCAAAATAGTTAATGATCCAAGGAGATAGGCTCTTGGTTAAAACTACCAAATTCAGATAACCATCATTACCCAAAAACGGATAAAAGCGTTGACAATGTCCAGCCGACGGTCAGTGTAGGCAATTTTTAGGCAGCGGTGCGCCGCTACGCTACACTACGCTACGGGCCCATGTAGCGTTAGCGTAGCGGCGCCAATTTTTTTTTCGTGTAGTGTTAGCGCACCGCTACGGCCGCTGCGCTACGCTAACACTAGCCATTTTTTGGTGTAGTGTTAGCGCCCCGCTGGCGCCGCTACGCTGCGTTACGCTACGCTAAAGCGTTTTTAGCGGCAAAAAACACCAAAAAACCGCTAAAAACTGCTGTAGCGCAGCGTAGCGGGCGGCTTTTTGCGCCCTGTGCGCGTAGCGTTAGCACAGATGGGGAGAATTGCGCTAACGCTACGCTAAACGTTAGCGCATTGTTTTGCCTCGTGCGCGTAGCGTTAGCGCTGAAAATGAAAAAAGCGCTAACGCTACGCTACATTGTAGCGATTTTTCGCTACACTACGCTACACTACGCTACGCTAACGCTACAGTTAGCGTAGCTGGCCCACCGTTGGTTGAGGTAATTTTTGGGTTTCAATTCAGATTGAGTGTTAGAACTCAGTTCTTTGGAAATATAGGTTTTGGCTCAGTTGAGTACATTCGGTCACCACGGATCATTTCAGGTTTCGATTGAAAGGAGAGTTGGATCTGCGAATGTTCAGATATTGTGAATAATAGTCCTTGCGCTAGGACATGGTTTTGGGAATGTTGCATCAAAACATGATTCGCAAAGGCAAGGCAACTAAATAGACTTGGTGTGCTTGACATGAATCGGTCAAGCCAGGATGAGATTGAATCACATGAAACTTGACGTCTGAGTTGAGTGGTGAGTTCAACTTCCAACTTTTTGTACTGTGGTTCATCTTTATTATACGGACGTTCAAGACTCAAAGATTCCTCGCTCCCAATTTGACCATTTTTGCCTTACCTCAGGACTCAGTTAAGCTGACGCATCACTTTAGAAGAGGTTTCTGTTGCTCGAATTCATAGCACTGATCGCTCTGGAACAATCCCGATCCAGATCAGAACAATTACTATGAATTGCTAGGAAGAGATGAACGTCTTATTCTATGTACAAAGAGGTAGGATTAATAATAGCAAAGCAAGGTCGACAGCAGATTACAGTACACAACGGTTCAACCAGACATTGAATTGGCATGTCCTAGTTTTATTATCTGCACAGTGCAGAATGGTCGAGATACAAATACATGAGAGGCGGAAAATGATAAAAGTTGACGTTGACTCCTCGGTCTGTAATGAATGTTTAAGCACACAAATTTGATTGGTGGATTGAGTTAAAGTCTAGATGATTGAGCCCTGAAGATGCTCGTTGACAATCAATGGGTCAGGCAGAGCTGATGTTAAGCCGGGCTCGCTTTGCATTAGCCAAGATTTCTTTTTTAGTCCTTTTTTTGCCAGATGTCGAAGCAACACTATCGTAATAATTGTTACTTGTACCTAATTTAGCTCCTTGATTCTGGACTGGATCGGCATCGGCTCCTTCAAGTTTACAGCTGGAGCTGGCTAAGACTTGTGTCTCAACACTGCACTCAGACTGAGGTTGAGACAAATCTTCACCGACCGTGATTCTAGTTTCACGCAAAGAGATGAGTAAACCGCGTGTGAAAGCTAATAGATCAGAAGACGTACAGTCCAGGACGCCTTGGTTTTTTGTCGCTCACTTGACTGTAAATGAGGGCCTGACTGTTAATAGGTTGATGTCCAACAGTTACCGATACAGATATCGCCTAAGTATGAATTGAGGAGGAACATAATCAATCAAGTCTGGTTCATGAAGGGTTTGTTTAAGGAATTACTAACGGTCACAATCCACATGAACTGATGATGTTCATATCCATTAATGTGCCCAGAAATTAAAATTTCCCGGCCCAGTTGAAACAAGCCAAAAGTGTTGGCTAAGTTTTTCCTCCCACCGATGATGTACTGAGTCTTGAATTGAACCTGAGCCTTAACCTGAGAATAATTCCTGTCAGACGTGATACGCAATTAAAGAACAAAGTGGGAAACTGACCACAGGGTCAAAATTGGTATGTTGAAGAATAACCACCAGATTTTTGGATGAAGTAGATGATTCTGGATCAGTTACTTCTTTTTTCGATACGACAATTCCTAGGCCAACGACAGAGGTTCTATCAGCCATGGAAGTGGGGATGTTAGCGGTCAGACCTAATTCAATGACAGTATCAGTGTCGAAGTGAAGAACAGGGATTGATTTCGAGTTAGGCGCAATGGGTTTTCCGGAAATGGAATACAGATGACTATCAACTAATCCAGTTGCGGCAGATCCGTAACCGCATAATTTAATCAGAAGATTCTTCTCTTCCTTAGTACAGGAGTCAAGGAAGGGGACTGATGTCGAATAATACATTTGTTCATAGGTCGATCCTGCGGCAATTAATTGTTCAAGCTGGTCAAGTGCCGAAAAGGTAAGTGTCAAGAAATGGGCAGTGACACAAGGAAGAATCTCATTACATGTTCAAAAATATCGGTGATCGTCCTAGTTAACATAGGATGACTGAATTTTTTGAGGGTAGACATTCTGATGCACGGATATATAAAGAGAACGAAGTTGAGGTTAAGTCAAGGGAGATAAAATGGTGTCAAGGCAAAGGGAGAGGTTGTGTCAACTTATGCACTTGAGGTTGAGTTTGAAGCTAAGAATAGGTGGTTATTGAAAACTGGATCTGTCAGCAGCGGGATAAAATTCAGGAACAGATGAGTTGAAACAGAACTGAGGGGGGAGGAATTATTTTTCGGCTTGAGTCGAGATTCAGATCAGGCCTTTTATAGACCAGCTGATCAACAGGCCAGAGGCAAAGTATAACTATCCTGGAGTCTTGGAGAGATCAAAAATGGAATTTAGTTAAAGCTAATATTAGATTAGGCGTGAGGAGATAGACCAGTACAGATGACTAACCAGGTAATCTTTGGTTGATTGTTGATTAGTCTGAGGCGAGGGATTGTGCCGGAATAGGTTGAGTATAGAGAAAGGCTGCAATCGTCAATTGCACTGAAGCTCAGCGCGAAGCTCAATGCACCGGGTAAATCTCAGCGATGAGTCTTGAATAAGTTATGTCAATTTAGAAACAGTAAAGAGTATAGAAATTCAGGAATAATTAACAAATGCGGCTGAATCAATGTTTGGAGTCAGCCCATATTTACGAATTGCGAAGGCTTTCGAATCCAAAAGAGGAAGTTACCCTATTTTTTGGTAGAGGATGCAAAAAGATCAACTGAAATTGTAATCTATTTATCACAGATTCTGATCGAACCATACAGAGTCTTGTGTTTGTTAAACCTTTACAAGCTGACTTTTTTGCAAAGTACAGGGCGATGTGGAAAAAAGGAAATAAAAAAAACAGCGTACAGGTTTTGTTTAGGTTGAACAAAAGAGAGGAACAGAGACATCCATCGAAGTATGACAGAGATAGAGCACAATTTAAAAATGAGTGGCCTTAATGAGTTCACAACATGTTGAGACAAAGTTAAGAGATGTAAACCGTGGAGACCTAAATTTAGCCGGAAGAGATTCAGAGCAGTTAGAACACCAGCCTAGAAATTAAAAAGTCGGTATAAGAAAAGGCCTACTTCAAGATCTACAATACCGGTCAAATTTTGAGTGAGATATGCTGAGACGTAGACTATTTGGCCTGGATTGAGTTCACCGAGCGAGTTTTGAATAGCTGAGGATTTCGAGCTGAACCGGAAAAGGGCAGACTGAAACATATTGGTTAGAAGAGGATTCGGTTGGAAAAGAAAAGATTTAACTAACGTCGGAAACATCAGGGTCTAAAGCGAGACAGTTGACGCCTTGGTCAAGCACTTTAAGGTAGCCTCTGACGATAGGGTATGGTATATGTCGATGTCGATGTGGAATCTCGTTATGGTACGACGAGGAGTTGCACAAGATGGCTATGTTTGGCTCAGAATAGCGAGCGATGCAGCGGCCCTGAAATGTTAACCAAGACGCAGCGTTATCGGAGTCACCGCGAGGAGCAGAAGTATAGACATCAAAGAGATGTCCTAATATAGGGACCATTGTGGTGTCGGTACATGCCCAGGGAGTTGAGTCTTGAATGCGATAGTGTTGTCGATTGACAAACGGAGGTTCTTCGGGAACATAAATGCAGCTCTCAATTTCAATCATGTTGAGGAAAGGTTGAGTAACAGTGCTATTGTAAGCAGTAAACAAGCTGTTGAAGAGGAGATGAGTGGGAGCAAAACTGAGGGGCGAGTGCATCACTATTTATGTCGATGCTTTTCAATTGGAAAAGGACAATCATGTAGGATGTAGTTGATGGCGCTGCTAATGATGAAAGCGGCGAACCACTGTCCTTGTTCTCGCCGAACGCTAGTAAAGAGGTTAAGTGACGAGGAGTAAATGTAGAGACAGACAAAATGAAGATGTGTCTGGTGAGAGTCGAACTCACAACCTCAGCAATGCTGAGACACATACTAGAGTGCTGCCTTTACCAACTAGGCTACAGACGCTTGTGACTGCCAGGGTTGTTGGGTGGTAGTGCTCATGGTTCGACATGTAGTGATACATCATGGTAGCAGACTATCAGACACCTCAACAGTAAATGTCGAAATAGGAAAGAAGAGACGAAGCTAATAAGCAAAGCTGAGAGCTCTAGATACAAAATGTGTAATAAAATAAATGAAACGGTATTCGAGACACAAGCAAAGTAATTAGTTTGCACAAAGAGTGAGACCGAGTTTAGATATTTCAGATGAATATAGGTGGAGTATCGGCGGAGTTGAAAAAGACAGTAGTAGCCTAAATACATCAATAGCGTTGAGTAATTATCTGAAGGAATTTTGAAGAAAGAGGAAAAATTATGTTGAGAAATGACTAACTGCAACGTAAACAAGATCTTTTTCATGTTTGAAAATATGTCCCGTGATCCATATCTTTTGGCCGACTTCGATATTAGTTGGAGGGGTGTTGGGAGTCCCCTCCGGAAAAATGAGGACAGCGGAGAAATTCTACAAGAATGTTAGTTAGAGCGTTCCCAAGATTGAGAGTACTTGACGTACCGCTGAACGATTATCACAACAAAATATTAACTCAGGATTGGTTTTGTCAATAACAACCCAGCCGTGAATGGAAGGATTTGAATTGATGATGAGATTGAAGTCGGTAGGAAGAGACATGCTGTTGATAATAGAAGAAGATTGACTGAGTTTAGGGAATGGATTTGAGTTGCGATGAGGAAATGGGATGAGATATTATAATTGACTGTAACTATAGAGGGTGCTGATGTCAAATGGTCAGGAAAGATTGTATAGGTATTTAATTGAGGTGAGAGGTAGATGCGGTTAGTGAAGAATTTGAATTAGGCATTATTGTTAGTGCTATGTCCGGATTATGGAATTGTGGTTAAAGGTGCTGGAGTGACACAACAGAAAAGGGTAAGAGTAGGCTTAAAAAATCAAGGAATACTATAAGCGGAAGAAAAGTAGAATTTGTGAAAGACCATTTCCTGGCCAGGAAAGTCTAACTTTGTGAGTCGGATTAAGGAATAAGAAAGAAAAAATATATAAATGGAGGAGAAGTATAATTTTCGCAACTGGGTTTCGCACCAAAGAAAGTCATGTTCGAGGATATGGACAGAGGCTATTTCAAGGGAGTCCGGTTAAGGAAAAGAAATAATATAAGCGGATGAAAAGTATAGGTTTCGAGTAAGGATGAGGGTTTCATTGCCAGGAAAGGGGGTTTGTTGAGGCCGGTTAAAGAATAATAAATAAAAATTATATAAAACGATGAAAGGTATAATTTTGACAAGAGACTTTCGGACCACAGAAAGTGACGGTTCAGGATAACAACAGAAGCTAGTTCAAGTGAATCCGGTTAAGGAAAACAAACAATCTAAACGGATGAAAAGTATAGTTTCGGAGGAGGATTTCAGACCAGGAAAAGTCGTGGTCGAGGGTATAAAGAAAGCTCATGTCAAGGACTTTAAACAGCAGAGGCTCCTAGATTTCAGATCTGCTAAGGTACCTCTCACAGACCGAAACTATTGCCAAATTTTCCAATTTTAAGTGGATTATTTGGTTTGGATTGTTTGCATACATGTATGTACCTTATTTTTTATGTTTTTTTAAAATTTTAAATTTATTTCCTAGGTTTTAATATGCGTAGAATTTAATGGTGCAATCCAATTTTTTTAAAACTCAACGGTTCACTTTTAATACTCAAATTACACCCATTTTTTCACTTAATTTTTTACAGCTTAATTTTCATCATTTTTTGACATTTTAAATTTATTTCCTACACTTTAAGACATGTAGAAAATTATGGTAACAACCATTTTTCCCCAAGTTGAAAACTATACCTTGAATGCTGCATTTGACATGTTTTTTTAATTAATTGATCACTTTTTCACCTGATTGTTTGCATACATGTGTGTACCTTATTTTTTATGCTTTTTTGAAGTTTTAAAGTTTCTTCCTACATTTAAAAGTGTGTAGAATTCAATGGTAACATCTAGTTTTCTTAAAACTCAACGGTTCATTCTGAATACTGTAATTAGTCATATTTTTCAATTGATTTTTAAGAGCTTAATTTTCATTATTTTTTGACATTTTAGATTTTTTTCCTACACTTTAAGACATGTTGAAAATGATGGTAGCAATCACTTTGCATCAAAATATAAACTGTATCTTGAATAATGCCTTTGACATGTATTTTTAATTAATTCTTACATGCTTAATTATCCTTATTTTTTGGAATTTAAAGTTCATTTCCTACACTTTGAAAGGTTTCAAAATTGCTGGCTGTATCCATTTTGCATTCAAATAAAATTTGTATATGGTTTCTTTTTATTCTTTATTCTTTAAAAAATGAAACCAGACCGTCCAAACCAGAAAACCATGCCAATCCACAAGGTACCTGGTCCGCCCCAGAAGGATTTCCTCACAAAATCCCCGTACCTCTCCTGCAAAAAAATACACAAAACAAGCCAGTGAAAAGTGATAACCAAACTGGAAGCAATCTCTATAGGGTAACTGACATCCTGGGGTGGCTAGTTTACCCGGCTATAGACCAGCTAGTGCACCCCCTCACCAATAAATGCTTAGCGTTTACCACTAACTCCTCCTCTCCACCCCAGACCATGGCCGCTGTCCCCAGTGGTCCTCTTCAGCCATCGTACTCCGTCGTCATTGCGGAGCCGTTGAT